AAGCCAAAATGTGAACGGAGAGAAAATGATGCGTTTCCGCATCAATTTGAAGGACAAATATCAGGTATCCCCAGATATTCATTTATAGACCAAATGAGAGCCTTCTCATCAAACCTCTCACTCACCACTTGACATCATGTTTTAAAAGGCCTGGAACCTGTTGTCATCCATCCATTTCTTGCTGCATTGAAGCCCGGCACACGCGTCGGTCTACGGAACATCGTAGACCCTAATAGCTAAGCGCAACGCTCAAACCCGCGTCTAAACGTGACGTCCCCAGTAAATATCACTCCCCACTGCTCATAGCCTGGTGCCGGATGTGGTGTACAGCCCCTGCCCGAAGCAGCAAGTAAACATTACTCCCCCACTGCTCACAGTCTGGTACCGGGTGTGGTGTACAGCCCCTGCCCGAAGCAACTAGTAAACATCACCCCCCCCCCCCCCCCCACTGCTCACAACCTGGAGCCGCCCCTGCCGGGCATGACGTTGTCACTTTAATCCTTTCACGGTGTTTCGATATCTAGACCAACAGCCAACTGGGCCGGCGGATCAACCTGAGCTCATAATCTGCGAGGCCCGCATATGTAACCCCTTCCCCTCTCTCACTGTCGCCCATGAGCACCATATTTGGTTCGCGTGTGAGCAGGAGCGCACTCAGGCATAATCATCACGGATGTGTTTTGATGGCTTTCATAACGTTATGAGGCTAGGCGTTCCGCTCGATAAAAGTGTTTTCAAAAGCAGATGGGCTGAGGGTATGTGTCTGTGTGTAACTTGAACAATAACCCAAAGTTCGAATCGATCAGTTTGAACAAGATCGGATCATCTGAATTCTAATCGAGCGTCATCAAACAAAACATGTCATACACGCAGTGAGTAAATATTGCATGCCTTTTGCTACTGAAGATGTAGAGATGCATGCCTCTGCTTGCACGCAAAAGAGCGATAATTTTCCGATCAGAGCTCGCTCTAGCCTCGTTTCCGTTCAGTGTTGTTCAGTGTTCAGTTGCTGACATGTTCTCTTGCTGGATGCTGGAATCATCACAGCGGTCTTGAACAAACATGGCAGTAGGATGACCTTCACTGAAATTCCGTCATTTCTGTTGGCCAATCAGACGCGGGATATATTCCCCGCAATTACCAACTCTTAGTCATAGATTGCCATTCGATTCAAAGCATTGCGGAACCGGGGTTTGACCTCATTACGCCTTTCCCGTATGGCTGGTGCTGCATGACCTTTGCGAAGGCCTCGTCATCGACAATACCCTTTGCAGGCCGTCTGCTAAATCCTTGGCCCGGCCAGCAGTTAGTGAGTTCCCCACACTGCCCCTTGGCATAGAAAGACATTCATGGTGTCATAGGGAAATAGTGATGACGCCAGACGTGGGATTGAATTGTTGTTGGTAAAGAGTAAGGTATGATCACGGCATAACAGTAAGTCATAAATGAGTAATATTACAGTAAGTTTCGCTGCATGTGACAACTGGCATTAAGGCGTCACACTACTGAGATCTGCGTCAGACTCACAAAACTGTCTATTATCTAACTTTTTTGTTATTAGCTTGTGTCATGCGCTCTGGTCCGGTGTGCAGCGGCTTTACATGGTCCTCTGTGTGTTCCATTTCATTTCGATATTTGCAGTTTATAGATGTTGTCCCGAATTCGATTTTCAATCAAACGCGCCAAGGGTCTTTACTCTGTAACTCGTTGGCGCCTCGAGCTTAGTGGGAATCCTTTTGACCCATAACGTCAGCGGTGGAGCTCTGTCGGAGCGTAAACAACGCAGTTTGAGACCACCCGACAGAAACCATGCTTGACAACACCAGAAGTAGCAACCAGTCATACGCTTGGCCGCATCCAGGCGACGTGTGATTGCCATGGGCCGTTGTACCTCATGCCGAGCGGATGACTATTTGGACGGACGACGGCGTGGCATAACGCCCATCACTTCAGACACTCCCGCACCCCACCCCACAGAGGGGCCGGGCCGCCCCTCCGACCGGCACCGGGCAGAAGTAGGTCAGCATGAGGCCCGAGGGCAAAACACTCCACCGTCGGCTAGACCGGCCCGGTTTGGTCGGCTCCGGCCCAGCCGTCTGGTTGGCGCTCTCTGCCTCCTTGTTTTTGCGCCTCCCCACGTGCCGCGACTGCATCGGTGCTCTGCCATCCACGGCTCGCGGTCGTGGGGCGCGGATGCCATTGTCTGCGGTAGCGGCGGCGGCCGGCACCGGAAGCAAACTGTGTCAGCCGCCGCCGACCGCCGCCGGACCCGTCACGCAGTCACGCTGCTACGCCGTCACGCCGCGTGACAGCGTGGTGGCGCGACGCGCGAGCGTGTCTCGCGATTGAGTTGTCCCGCAAACACAGGGCTTAGCGAAGCTGGGTGCAGGCATTGGCGAACTCAGGCACTGCGTCGAGCGAAAACACGCGATTGAAACGCGCGATTATTGGGGAGGGAGCGGGTTTGTGCGCTACAGAAGCGGGGTGCTGTGGCTCAAAGCCCCTTCCTCAAACGTCCGCCGCAGAGCATCGTGTTTTGAACGGCAGCCACCAACAAGATTCCACGGTTTCGAATAACAGCCTTTTCGGAATGTAGATTGTTGGGTTGGATCCACAAACGTGCATGCATATCACGCTAGCTGTTAACGGATTGCAAGCTTGCCCGATGTAAGGGTGTGACCAGCACACGCCACAGAATGCGGCAAGGGAGTATTGTAACGCTTCGTGGTTACGCGTTACAGTATTACAAACACAGATCGCAGGCTCATCCAACATTTTTCCCTTGAATCCCAACTGACGTAGGAAGTAAGCAGTGTTTAAGGTCATGCATAAGCTGATTTCGTTTGGGAGTAGAATGTCCTCAGCTGATGAATGAGACAGCTGCTTGTCCGGTAGTAAAAATCTGTTTTCCAATCGCTGATGCGCATTCCGTTGCACCCTAGTTGAAACGGGCACGGAGTCAGTTCCAAATGGCCTCCCAGCAAGGTACCCGTATGTGCCCGTTCAGTGCAGCTTGCAAATTTTTAGGCTGAACAGCGGTTTGGTGGCATGTCAAAGAGTTCGCGACAACTGGCACCAGCAAGCATGCAGTATGCTTGCAACGCCATACTCTCACCCGCCGCTTTGCAACAATGCAGCACGGCCCGCGGCCCCATGCCGCGGTTAGGCCCTCCTAGCGTCGGCCGAGCCGGGGTTAGGCCGCGGTTAGGCCAAGAGCCGTCCTGCACCGACTGTTTGACCCACCGGCACCAGGCAGACACCTGTCGGTTACCCCGAGCTCCGGGACCTCCGAATATCTTCGGCCGGGTCAAGAGTCAGGGGTCGAGCCTTCGGAGATTGGACACAGCGCGAGATTTTGCGTGCGATGACCAGATGGCTTATAATTCGTGTGGCACCTAGCAAACACACTGCCCTTAAGCTGCGCATTGCGCTCACAGCGTTTCCCCATCCCTGTCCTCTGACCGACGGCCCTGTACTGATGCAGACTCTGGCTCTGATCCACTGAGCTGCCCTGATTCAGACCCCGGCTCCGAGACCGCTCGAAACAATGGTCCACCGCGGCTCATGGCGCTGCCGCGGCTCGCGTGGAGAGCCGTTGCGACACCGACCTATTATGTGGCCCGGACCGCGCGCTGGTGGGTGGAGTGCCAGCGTGGGAGGGGAGGGGGAGGGGCCGGAAGTGCGGTATTGGCAGCTGTGGGCCGGCCCGCTCGGCGATCGAACTGTTCCGGTGTACCGTGCTGGTGCGAGGGTCAGCACGCGGCGAGATGGCCCCGGTGCACTGTGACGGCGCGTTGGTAATAGCTGATCGGATACCGGATGTTCCGGTGTATGCACAACGCTGCTGTAATTGCTTCCCGGGCGGAAGAGTCTGAGTGAAACGGTCCAGATTCTCCATAGACCTTGGTGCACTACCATTTCGTGGTGTACACATGCACCAGCACGATAAAATGTCTGGCCGGAACACATTTTGTTTAGCTGTCTTCCTGTCCTTGTCGCTTGAGACGCGCCCTCGCCAGTATTTACCGGCAAGTGCAGCTTTCCCGTACCGACCCCACGCCTCTGAATGGCTCGTGTTAGTGTTTCCGGCCACCGTGCATGTCCCGTTAAATATATTTCCGACGGCTGTGCGTAGCCTTGGTTATCGTCGAAGCAAACATTTCGGCACCTCTGAGGCGAGCCTCCGTGGCTGACCTCCGTTGACCTACATCTATATGTTGACCTATCTCGACAACCAGCTGCGGTCGGCACGTATCGATGGTGTGGATCGTCTTGCACGTTAGAGAGACCGGGCGGGTCGACGACCTTTGCAAAAGCCTTTGCAGCAGGTGATCTGTACGCTGCAAATAAGCCTCCAACGGCTCTAAGCACCGTGATTTGCCTTAACGTTAAGACGCCTGGCCGTCACGCCCCCCCCCCCCCCCCCATCTGGGTCTCGTCAGGTTCTCAGCGACAATGTCGGCCTGCTGAAAACGCCCCATGCGGAGCGCTGGCGTTTGTGTAGTGGGAACGGCGGAAATCGGACAGGAGGGATTTGGGTCACCGGTATGGTCACGATCTCGCGGGAATGGTAACAACCTGCTGTGCGAGACAGGTCGGCGCGGCGGACCGCTAAACGAGTCGATCTGTGTTTACGATTATCGCATTCTCATTTCTCTCGCTTTTCAGTGTTTCGATGCCTGCCATGCATAATGCAGCACAGTCTGATTAAACACGGATATTTCTGCTTGCAGAGAACACAAAATTAATTGATGCTCCCTTCCGGATGTGATTCTAAGCGCTGCCAATATTAGCGCAACGTTTCTATATTTAGCTACCAACGTGCTAGTAATTTTAAAAACGCCTTCTTGGCTCTCAGAAAAGCACACGTTTACGTTGCCCCTGAGTCGCACAAGCCATCTCTCCTCCTCACGAGCGGCAAGTCACGAGCGTCTTCAAGCCACGGTCACGAGCGTCTTCTAGTCGTGACTCACGCGCTGACGGTGGTGATTCTGTTGCAGGATGGCTGGCGGCTCCCACGGGCGCGCCGCGGAGCGGGCTCTGATAACGGCAATCTACGTGCTCTTCTGCACGCACCTCGCCACACCAGAACGTGAGTAATAACCTCCAATGAGCCAGTGAAGATCGATTAAGTCCTTGCGCTTTGAGAATGACGAACAACGCTGCGTCTTGGTTGTGCTGTAAGTTGTTGATTAGCATCGCTTTCGACAATTTTGCGTGCGTGCTTCACCCATCACTGATCTTCCATCCAGCGTGCCTTTTTAGCGAACAGAGCCGCAGTCCGTGTGCAGCTGACTTAAGTACTGGGAACATCCCCAGCTTAAGCCAGCTGGCTCCGCCCGAGTGTCACCTTTTCTAGAAGCTAATATCTTTGCAAGGACTGATGGGAGCGTGCTGCGGGTTTACAGCAAGAAGAGAAGTGCATGAAAGGTTAAGCTGTTTAAGTTTGTAGATATTTGCGTGATAGCTCAAGCACGAATTGTTTTCTTCTGAAGTATCGCAACGTGAGAAATGGAAAGTTTCCCATCCAATTTATGTCCCCATCCAATTTTCTAGGTGCGAAAAGCACAAGGTGGGTCGAGCCTTTTTCAGTTTCACCACACGTAACTTTAGCTTTAGTGTAAGCACTAGGGTTGAGCCCGAGTCCCAGTGCATCCTATGCAGTCTTGATTTCGATGTCGTCAGATGTTCATGAGGCCCTCGCGATAGGGTGAGTCCCGCATCACATTGTCAGGGATAGAGATCAAAGGGATAACAATCCTAAAATGACGTAAAGCTGGCTTGGCCTGGCCAGCGCTGGCTTCAAGTGCTCAGCGCTACTTAGCGAAGGTGTCAAGGGCGATTCATTGTGAGTTGTGACTGCGGTTAAGCCAGTGACTTAGAAACGTGATTAGTGAAATGACAAAGGGCTTTGAAGTGCCGGTAGTGTAAATGTTGACGCGTTTGCGTTAACCACTGCGCGTCTGGGGCACCAAAGATACCTGGTCCGATTCCTCACCGTGCCCGCTCTTCCTGCCAGGGTGAGAGACAGCTGATGCCATATAGCCTCAGCAGCTGAGTGCGTCGTAAAGCCCCAATGATGACGACGAAGAAGGAGGTTTGCTTTATGTTGCGTTTAGTCTGAGCTTAATACCGAACAATTCGGTAGTATCCCGAGTCTGGGCCTTCACTCCAGTAGTGCGGAATATGTGAGTTCTCGGGCCCAATTCCCACGCGCTCCAAAAAGTCGTGAGCCGTTGATTTCAATCAAAGTCCGGCCGGACTTGGGCTCACGTTTACGTCTGCAGTGGCAACTCAGACGTAGTGTCCGACGTGACTCGATGCTCATAAGCGGCTGCGATTCGAAACAGCCTAATAGGCTGCTATCGGGTAAGCCAATGGGGGGGGGGGGGAAGAGAGGGGAGGGGGCGGGGGAGGGAACAGAGCTGTGGTCCTACCTTGCGTTGCCCCTCTGGTGGCGTTGACGATGTCATTCACGTTAAGCCGCCGAAATGAACGGCTTGCTCACACCCACAGCGCCAGTTTGGCCTAGAAGCAGAACTAGAGCAAGACCTTATAACTAAAACCAGAGCTCGTGTTTGCTCTCCGGGCCTCGAACTCTGGCGACACAGCTGGTGACACCCCCGGCGACACAGCTGGTGACACCCCCGGCGACACAGCTGGTGACACCCCCGGCGACACAGCTGGTGACACCCCTGGCGACACCGCTGGTGACACCCCTGGTAACACCCCTGGTAACACCCCTAATGACACCCCTGGCGACAGCCCTGGTGACACCCCTGGCGACACCGCTGGTAACAACCCTGGTAACACCCCTGGTAACACCCCAGGTGACAACCATGGTGACACCCCTGGCGACACCCCTGGTGGGCGATCGATTATCTAATGAGCACCGTTGTTTTATTCGCCTAAAATAATCAAGCGAAAGCGCCACCGGTGAAACCCACCCTCGACTGTCCGCTCACTATTGTAGCCACAATCAGATATTGCCGAGAAGTACAAATACTCACTCAAAGATCATCGAGCACGCTGATGTCTGCATAGTTTTTGTTGTGTTTTGCATGGTATGAATTCCACCCCCCCCCCCCTTCCTGGATTCCACATTCCCTACAGATCTGCAGACAGGCACTGTCAGCTTGCTTCAGAATGCAGCTGAAGAAATTTTGTGCGGTAGCCACGCTCACGGAGCGGAAAACAACTAGAAGCCCTATAAATAGCGTGTTGCAGCCTAATTGCAGGCATGTTGCAGTAGGTCACGCCTGGAATGTGTAAGTGGTGCGACTTCCCGCACTGGCACGCGCCAAAGCCAGCCTTACAATGCTCAGCAGATTAGAGGCTGGCGTTGCCCCCAAAAGACGGTGACGCGTACAGTTGTGCTGGAGAGAGCTGCTCTGCACTGCAGTGGGATTACAGATGAAATGAACACAGGAGTTTGAGGGTGATAACCTAGAGCCAGTGATGGCTTAACAGTGGCAGTCTTAGTTTAGACTCGCCCGACTTGCAGCCAGTCACACATCGTCAGCCAAGTCCTAATCTGAAGTCGGTGAACTGTAGGCAGACGTCGTTGCACAGCCGCGCTGCCCAGAAAGCTCCACCGTTTCCGATGAGATGTGCGATTCTGTTGCGCGTCTCCCGACGGCCTGCCCGGCTGGCGGTCCTAACCGGGGATCTCCTGCGCAGTCACGGAAGAGTCACGCTGCAGGACTCTTGACTCGGGAAAAAGACTCGGGAGTCCTGTCACGTGCGTTCCTGGCAGAATACGCACGCTTGCAAGTCCCGTGCAGTATGCATGCAGCGTGCAAGTGTGCGTCGGTGGCGCAGACACAGCCGGGCCGGTCCGTTCCACGATCCTCCGCCGTCGCCGAGACCCGGGGTCACAGGGAACAGGTTTTGGGCCGATCTGTGTTACTGGGGCGGATCCGGGCCGCGCGGGCAGGCCGGACCGCAGCGGGAGAGAACGGCCGCAGGTCATGGCCCGTCTACGGCTCGTCTAGCTCTGACGTGGTCTGTCGTGGTCTGCCGTGGTCTGTTGGGGTTTGTCGTAGTCTGTTCACGGCTCTTCTAGGTCTGCCGTGGTCTGTCGTGGTCTGCCGTGGTATGTCGTGGTCTGTCGTAGTCTGTCGTGGTCTGTCGTAGTCTGTCATGGTCTGCCGTGTTCTGTCGTGTTCTGTCGTGGTCTGTCGTGGTCTGTCGTGGTCTGTCGTGGTCCGTCGTGGCGTAGTCTACGGTTCTTCTAGCTCTGTTGTGGTCTGTCGTTGCCTATCCACGGCTCTTCCAGCTCTGTCGTGGTCTGTCGTGATCACGCAGGCAAGAGGGCAAGCGGAAGTCAAAACCGCAGGAAGGCTGTTAAATGGAATTTACGTAATGCGACTTTTGACCCACCGTTCTGAACTGTTCTTTTTTATGTTTTTTTTTCATTTTATGTTTTTTGAATCTGTTCGATTATGCCTTTGACTCTGCATTTTGTTTAACAAATCATTAGCTCTCCCTTTTTGAATACATGTGTTTTTGCGGTTATTTGTTGCGTCCGTCGTGACATGTACCGTATTGAAATTGGTGACATTAAGCTGGTGCTCTGTTCTTCAATTTCCGACGTCTTCTGTCCACTCATCGTCTTCATTGTAAAGTTTGTTCCAGAACTTTGAGCGATGTGTAGTTTTGCAGAAGGATTGAGACGACGTATCAGTATCACAGCTGGCAAGATGGCTCAGGCTATCGTCATTGTCTGGTGTGTAAGCATGTCACAACGTACCGGCAAGTTAACTCTCTGGCCGTCGTCAGGTGCTATTGAGTTCTGAACGGAACTGGATGATGCTTAGCTTTCAGCAGTGTACGCATCACAACCCAAATTCTGTCACTGGAATTGCTGGGGTTCTAACCGGGGATTTCTGATTGCAAGTCCGGTGCTTCACAAACTGCGCTGACAAGGAAGGACCGCAAACTCATTCCTTCCACATAACTTTCAAACGCTCCGACTTCTGAAACAACGCAATTCACGAAAACGACGGGAAACTGTGCTCAACGATCAGTTCTAGCCAATCGGTTGTCATTGCAGAGGCTTGTTAAGTTTGTGTAACGCGTTTGGTGTGTTAAGAGTGTGAGGGCGGCAGTCATGTCTTGCAAAACACAACAAAAAGTATACAAACATCAGCGTGTATACTGATCTTTGAGTGAGCATTTGTACTTCTCGGTCATGTGTGACTGCGGCTACAATTATGAGCCCACAGTCGACGGCGGGTTTCACCGGTGGCGCTTTCGTTTGATTATTTGTTATGAACTGATCGCTGATCGCTGAACTGACATGAACTGATCGCTGATATATTGATCGTTTGATATAGAGTTTTCGCCTGACCATTTTAGGCGAATAGCGGTTTATTGAGCGTTACTGAGTTGTGTAACATGGCATCCCGTCCCCAGCCTCTGATAAGCTGATATGGCTCTCCGCGCTCCGGGAGAAATCAACATGATTGATCATTTTATGTGTCAACTGGTGAGGCGTCGATCATTATCGACTGTGCAACATTGTTTGGCGTTCTAAGCCACCAAAGAGGCCCACAAGAGGACCAATGTCCAGAACTGTTCGAAATGTGATTCCCGTGAGACCCTCTGTCCGAAATGATTCTCCCAGCTCGCAACAGACGTGTCGATCTCACGCGATGGGAAGATGACGGGGCAGTGTGCTGCCATGCCAGCGCCTGCTGCACAACCCCAGTCGTTAAGCACAAAACAGCTCACGCTTCCAAGACGCCGAAAATTGTCGTGGAAACCCAACCCATTCTCTGCACGTGGGACCGGCGTACGATTTTTCCCGCCTTGGGACGGAGTCGTGCGCGGTGACGGGACAGCCGCCCCACGTGACCACCGCGGCGAAACCGCGCGCCGAGATCGGCACACTTGGCGCGCGCGCATGGCTCCGCCAGGCAACACAGAGGTCACGGAGGTCAAGCCTGGCTCGAGCCGGCCGGTCGGCTGGCCGGTCGCCGGTGGCGACGCCCGACTGGCGGTGCACAAACGGCGGCGGTTTCGCCGCTCGAGGGGCCGGCTTCCAATGGGCTTTGCTTACGAGAGGGTGCCGGGCTTCGGTGCTTCGTGGGCTGGAACGGTGGCCGACTTCCGATGAATTGCTCCGCCTCGCCGCCTCTGTCTCTGTGTGTGACGCTGAATTTAGGTGTTTTTTTTCAATTCAGTTGTTTCGTTGTGTAGAATAACCAGGAAAATGGAGAAAAGGGTGAAAATTATTAAAACTGGCTGCTCTGCGAGGAATACGGCTATTATTGTTGTCTTATCTATATACATAATGTTCCTCGTAATTGTGCTTAACATCTTACGTAGTTGTTTAATTGCATATATTTGAAAAAAAAACAAAACAGGGCAGGTGTGTTTGTTCACAACACACAGTCGCGAGCAATGCACCGAGAATGAAACTTGTATCATACTTTACAGTGGCAATCACGATTTCAAGTCTTATACCAAAACTAATGGAACGCGGAAAGAAGATCGAGTTTGACACGTGCGAGAGTCACGGATAAATACCGCTGTCCGCGTCATATGTTTACAGGATTATCTGTAGACACTAGTTACTGATAAATGTCCCGAAATAGCCCCATCAGTTGACATGTCCAAAGTCCCCAGTAAAAGTGTTGCTGGAGAGATTAGACGTGCGATGCTTTGGTGATTATGGGACTTGTTGACGAAGAGAGCTAGAAATTCCACCGAACTGGAAAACAGACTGAGAAATAGAAAAATGCTGAAGATTATAATAGCTTGAAGCTGGGAACAACATGTTTTCCCATTGTTAGTGCATGCATGTTGCACCTACAGTTAGTCCCAGATCATGCTTTTGGATGCGTGCTTCAATATCATACTTCACGAGTGTTCTGCAGCCAGACGGGTGCTTCCAGACTTGTGCACCTCGTATAAACCGGTCAAATCGTGTGTTTAGCCCGCGCCAATGGTCCTGTCACGTGGGTTCCATATTTCAGAAATCGCCCAATCACGAGCGCCGACTTTCCCACGTGACCCAGCTGAATTCGTGCCGTGTGTCGCGAGCGCTTGACCCCGCATGACCCCGTTGGTTTCACTGGGCGCCGCTTCGTCTGTGACCCTGATAGGTCACGTGACCCTGATAGATCACGTGATCCTGATAGATCACGTGAATGATGAATGGATCTGTGTTTCAGTATGTGACGTCCAGTCGTCGGAAAATGTCGTCATTGTTGACGTGATGGAGAGTCTGGGCGAAGGTAAGATGCCATCAGCGAAAGCTTTCTCCGATTGCTTTGCGGTACAGGTTTTGCGGAGTTAGCGCAACACGAAGATAGCGGTTGAATCTCGTGTTTTGCGGTTTCTAGTTCAAGTATGCAAAGTAAGCTACGAAGCGATGAATGAATGTTCGAGAGTTGAATCAGCCAATGCAAACAATTTCGCGATTGTTTCATCTCGCATTTCTAGATTCGCTGTAACGGCCATGGTACCTGACCAGCACTCGCGCTTGTTTTCAGAGACAGATCAACTGACCTCCCCTCGGGAGTTGCCAATAGACGGATCCGTCGAGGAGATCACGCTGTCTCTTCTGCCGGACGCGACCAATTACTTCCGACTGGAGGGGAAGTCGCTGTACCTGCTGTCACCTCTCGACAGGGATGCCAGCGACCTAAGCTCCATTGTCCTCAGGGTGAGTGCTAAGCATGCTATGCCTCGCGAGCTGACAGCTTCTGGGAAGCTTGAGAAGCTTAATTAGATTGGGAAGTTGTTATTCACACGGACTGTCGTGCACACCTGTGCGTGCCTCTTAGAGCATGGTCAGAACCTGTAATTTCTTTGAGAACGCCGACCTTGGTTTTGCTCTAAACAATCTGTCAGGAACCGATTGAGCGCGTTGCGTGTGGTTTTGCAGCTTGCCCTGCTGCTGGGTGTCTGACTGATGGAAACAATTAGCGAGGTATGTGCCTTTCCATGCTGGTTAAGACAGTGCCTTAACACTATGATCCATGGGCATTCCTGTTGGGAATTGCTTTCAGCTCGCTGCCGCTTCTTCTGAGGTGAGCCAGAAGGTGCAGACAGCTTTCATTTTCATGCTGCTTGTTTACGAATCCGCTCTGCATGTCGGACCCCAGATGCTCTACGGAAGTGCATACATAAAGCATGAACCACAGAGGCTGCATCGCACGCGACGGCTGATAGATTGCAACCAATGACAGCGAGACGTTTCACGCAGCGTCCTTGTCTGCTGCCGACAGCGACTACGGAACAAATCTCAGCCACGTTTGAGGGGTAACAAAGTACCACCCCACTATACACTACTCGGCTTAGTGAAAATAAATAAACTAAATATTAACGTACGAATCAATATGGTCATGGCGGCGTGCGGAAGACTCTACGGGCTCCGTGGCAGATCTCTCAGCAGACTTCACATTTCCCATCGATATCTTATGGCCATCGCGGTTGGGACGCGCAAAAGGTCAGCAAAGGTCACTGGACGGCTGAAGGGTTTCGGGTCCAGCCGTGGCCTGCGTACTCGCTAGCTACGGCTGGCGCCGTGTTTTTCGCTGTCTGATTCCCTTCGAGCGTCATTCAACCGCGCAGTCATTGTTCCGCTCCGTTGAGCTACGCGTCGCTTCGGTCTCGGCTGACTCCTTAGCATGAGTTCTCGAAGCCAACGACCCGTGACCGTGGATAGCTCGCCGCTACTGATGAGCCACTTGTTAGCTGGCCCCTACTGAGCCTTCACTGCCGATGGTGGTGGGGTTCAACCATCTGTTGAATGTTCCTTACTGCATCGTAGGTGAGCCGTCTCTGTTTGTGCGAGAGTGAGTTAACGGAACGCTTGTTTTATTTAACGGGAATGCAAATGCAGTGGATTCCTGTTCCGAAAATGAAAAGGGTCTCCGAGAATGGAAGTGATTTTCTTTATCAAGTGCTGGGGATGACTGGTCACGAAGGCAAAGGCAAGCACAACGCGCCAGCCAGACACCACAAATATCGTCAATCCCGATGTTTTGACTTAAATTTTCGAGTTCTAAATATAAATGTACTTAACGTGGAGTGCCCAGAATGCATCGGTTTTGCTTCATGGGCTCCTTGAGTGCGTTCCCAGTAATGGCACACCGATCCTTTCTACACAGATTAGGGCCGCTCGTAGCTGAAGCAGGTAAAAATAATTCCGTTACTCGTCTAGGGATCATGGAAGGCTCTACGCGATTATCCTTAAGTCCATGTTGCCCTGACATGAGACGGGGAACCAGCCTCCAAGGGCTGCTTTTCACATAAGTGCTGTGGCCCTGCGCGTAAAGCTGAAGATAAAAAATGAACAAAAACTGGAAAAACCGGAACATGAAAAGAGACCCAGGAAACCAATCGATGTTGGGAGGGCACGTCGAAAGTCACAGGATAATGATGTCACGCTCCGAGTTTTAGTGAGTGCCGAAGCCCCCCCCCCCCCCCCCGCTGCCATTCACCTGGAGAGAGCAACGTAAGCGTTATTTGGCCGTTTTCCAGCACCGGTGCTTCAGTGCTTCTCCAGTGCACCAGTTCACCAGTGCACCAGCACCAGTGCCTCAGCTCTGGTCTGTCGGCTTTCATTTGCGAGTTTAGACCACTTTCGGTGGACTGGTGACGGGGGAGAACACCCAGCGAAGGCCAGCGAGTTTTTGCTGGAGCCAGACCCAGTGTCATCTCAGAGCCGGCTGGTAACGCGCGGCAAATCGGCGTTATCTGCCTTTGTTTTCGACCTGTATTCCGACTCTGAGTGACAATGGATGAGTTGGTAATGAGAAGCATGCTGAATCGGTAAGTCGTCAGCTTAATGAGACACGATAGTTGGACTGTTGGCGCTGCAGGTAATTAGACAACGACGGACATCAGACGGGTTATTTTATTCGCATGCCGAGCTCGCTGGTCCCTTTCACACATGTGAACAACACATGCAACTGCGATGCAAATAACTGGGAGTGCAGTTCCCCTCGCAAAGCAAAGATGGCTGTGAACATCCCCCGAAGGTGCTACAAGAGGCAAACGTTCCTCCGCCGTGACGCCACGTGAACGTCACTTGACGTCACGTGACGTCACGTGACGCCCGAACCGTGACGTCCGTGACGTCTGCACCGTTGCCGCGGCACGCGTGCCTAAGCCGGGTCACGGAATGACCTTGCGACCTCTGTCCACAGGTGTCGTGCCAGGTGCGAGCCAGCGGGTACCGCAAGACCATCCCAGTCATAGTCCGGGTCACGGACATCAACGACAACACCCCGGAGTTCGTCCGGTTACCGTACCGAACCCGTGTCCCCGAGGTATGTCCACTACACGCGCATGTGGAGGTGTCCGACCGTGCTATGGTCACATACCCCCACATGGGTGGGCGTTCATATGGTTGGTGCATTAAGGCATTTATGTAATGCTTGGCCAGGTGAAAAACTGCTGCCATCGTAAGACGCGATGTCTTTAAGACGTGTTCCTTGAGGGTGGCCATGCATGCGTACAATGTTTTTATTCCTCCGGCATTGCTTGGGGACATGCTATCTCCTGCCCAGAATACGATGCTGGTGATAAATTTGTTGGAATGAACAGCGCACCAATACAGGCGAGGATAACACCACGATTCGTGACGTCACCTCCACCACCCCAGCAACGTCACACAATCCACCTGGCATCAAGCCGGCCCGAACACAGGGCGTGTTGTAACGCATAACGCGTAACTTTCGGCTGGTCATCACCATCGGTGCGTCACGGGCGCGCGCGCGCCGAGGTGCGTCACGGCCCTGCCGCGGCGTCACTGAGCTGTCGGCCGGCCGTGACGAACGCTCTCTGTTTCTGGCGCACGCACGCGTACCGTCCAGGGAGATACTCGCCATCGACGATTAGACGCCACGTGAGCCGCCGAAAAAAGGCGGTAGGTGCTGTGCTGAAGTCGATCAAGGGGGCACTTGGTCAAGGTAGCGGGTGGTCAACTTAATTTGGTGCGCTGGGGTAACTGATGCATTTTGAAACAATCTGCACATTCTTATGTACTTTGATACACTGTGTGCACTCTGATTCACTGGCCTCACACCCTGAGGTCTGCTCGAGCTCTGCTTTCATCGATGGGTAAGAAAGCCCTGACCAGCCACCCTCATCCCCGTCCTTGCTGTTGGGAAACCCGATGTGATTTTGAGCGGTGATGGTCAGTGTGGCAATGGGCACGGCCAGATGGTCACGGTTTCAAACGATGTTTCAAGATCTGTTATGGCGTAAACGTCCTTGTACTACAGCGTCGTTGGTTACTTCAGCTACGAAGTGAGATATAGCTGCTCTGGAACCATTCATCGTTATGGGTCTTCTTCTAATGATCTCCCGCCCCCATCTAATCATCCTTCTCTTTTGTCTGATGCACGTGCCTATTTTGCTCACCCCTTTTCATGCGCTATTTTTATAGTGTTATATATTTGCTGTTCAAATAAATTTACCCATCATTGTCGCCTTGAGCCGTGACACCTCCGTCTCCCTCCCTCTCTCTCTCCCTCTCTCTCTCTCCCTCTCTGTCTCTCTCTCTTTCTCTCTCTTTCTCTCTCTCTCCCTCTCTCTCTCTCTCTCTCTTTCTCTCTCTGGCTCGCTGGCTCTCTGACTCTCTGACTCTCTGACTCTCTGACTCTCTAACTCTCTGACTCTTTGGCCCCCTGGCTCTCAGGCTCTCGGGCTCTCGGCTCTCCGGCTCTCTGGCTCTCTGGTTCTCCGGCTCCCCGGCTCTCTGGCTCTCTGGCTCGCTCGCTCTCTCGCTCTTTTTCTTGACTTTCCCCGCCCTCTCAGCCCTCTCCTTGCGAGGAGTAGCGCCCCGATCATCGGTCCGACACCGCACACCGCCGCCGGTAAACCCACCACCGCAGACCGGACTCCCACTGCCTCGGCGACACCGCCTCGCGGTCAGTGGCGACGTTTGGGGCCGGCGTTCGCCGCAATCGCCGCAATCGCCGCGATCACCGCATCGGTGCGGATGACAAACACGACTGACTGTGGTATCTCGTTGGCTTCTAGATGTCTTTAAGACTCCCTTAAAAGGAACGTTTGAATCTTCGGTGTTTTTTTGTTGGACGTGGCATCGGTTTTGTCTCTTTCTGATCATGCAGCATCGCAGGGTTTATGCTGGAGTGAGTGGAAAACAGCAATTACACTGAATGATTCGCCAAGCGTAAGTACATCGCGGTTGAAAACGCCTGACAGTTTGGGAAGACGGCGACAGACTAAAAATAAGCTTGTTCCTAAACGTAATGTAGTTTTTCAATACAAGCCTTCATTTGAAGGCAGATTAAAGTGTTAGTGGTGCCATACAGCTGAGATGCGCCGATGGGCACAGATGCCTGGTTGGATGTCGGCAACATTCAAAGTGGTGGGATTCGGGACATTTGAGGTGATTCTTACCCCGCGGTGAAAGGCCAAGCGAAGCTAATCTGGCTACTTTAGAAGCATAGCACAGACTTCTGACGGCTTTCCTCGGCTGGATTGTCGATGTAAGCGGTATGGCTGCAGATATCTTTGATTGGACGGCTCCCTGGCTGCTGGTGACGACAGCCCATGGAATCGCGGGACTTAATCCGTTGAGTGGTTTATGGGATTCCCAGCTCTCAAACGAACCGACCCAATGTCACTGTTTCGGTCATAACATGGACATCCTTCAGATGAGAAAGGTGGATGTTCGTCTTTAATCCTTGGCCGAGGTTTTCCGAGTATCATCCGGGATCCCTACCAAGAGCGTTGTTTACAAAGTCTGCACAACCATACGCTTTTTTGCCCCGGGATAGATCACAAGCTGTCTTATGGGCCCCAGTGCCGCACAATTTTGAGTCGGACAGCTAGTTAGCTACAGTTTTAGTACAAATGTCCGGTAAGAAGACTACACAATCGCCGGGATGATGACAACGCCGTAGCCGAAGTGCTGTGTGATGCTGTTCGAGGTTTGTCGGCACCATTCCCCGACGCGCATCTGTCCACCTTCTCACTGCTCCCGGACGCACGCTCATCCGTCTCACTCGACGTCACCAATTCCGTCCGCGGCCGCCGACCGCTGACCTGATCAGCCATCAGCTGACACCAGCTGACAGCCGACGCGCGCGCCCCTAGCGGCGCCGGCCGGAACTTGTCGGCAGGAAGGCCCATGCGCCGAAGGCGATCGGCTATAGATGCGTGCCTTTGTCCGCCAGCGGTGGGCCTGTTAGCTGACCAGGGTTCATGAACGCGGCTTTTGCGCGCGGCGGTGTTGATGCCGGGAGGCGGTATGCTGATCAAGGCGTACGCGGCTTTTGCGCGCGGCGGTGTTGATGCCGGGAGGCGGTATGCTGATCAAGGCGTACGCGGCTTTTGCGCGCGGCGGTGTTGATGCCGGGAGACGGCATGCTGATCAAGGCGTAGGATCGGCTAGCAAAGGTCCTCAATGCTCCCGTACGGCTCTCACATTCAGTGATGGATAGACAGGTGGAATGTGGACAACGTGGGCATTACTCGCCGTACTTTCCCCATTCTCGCTTCATCCTGCATCCTTGCGACGCCCCGTTATCCAAGCCCGAGTGCATTCCACGTATAAGGGTCACGATGAGGGATGAGTCTCGGCGGAGATGCGCGCGGTTCTGCCCAACCATTATCCCATATCCCCAGTCCCATAGCCCTGAAGGGGTCATTACTGGCCGAAAGGACTCTAATTCCAGCCAATCTAAGCATGGACAGGCTGTCCCACTTCACATTAAGCACCGCTGATTCGTCTTCGCCTTGTGAGATTTACGTGTTATCACGTCTACATCCGCGGACGGAAGTGGCTTCAGGACTGTCTTGTTTATTCACGATGACGTCATTACTCGACGATATAATGATTCCCTGTTCTTTCGGATTGTTATTGTTTTCGCTAACACTGAACAAGTCCATGATACCTTTTGTTGTAATAGTGGTGCATAACTGAATTCAGAAGTGTGCTGGCGTTTGGTAGCGAACCGTGCCCCGAACCTAAAGCATGGCAAGAAGCCGTTTGTGGCGCAAGATTTGTGAGCTTACAATTATCGAGTCCTGTTTGACTTTTATTCCTGAGCCCTGCAGTTGAAGTTACCCCGCAGGTATTCAGGCTACCATGAGCCAAAATCCCGAGGCAAAAACCTGCATGACGCGTGGTTCTTTTTGGAGTTTCGCTTTTGTTCCGCTGACATATCAGCAATGCGACAAAAACTAGCTCCGAGTGATACGGTGGGGGCTCATAAGAAATAAACCTGTCCCGTGACGCACCCTTCACCTACATCCGGGACACTAGAACAGTACTTAGCGCGGTACCCCAACGTATCTCACAACGTTTTGTTCAGGCTTTCCGGGTCATGTTCTCAAATGGCACCCTGTTAAAAATGTTCAGATAAAATAGGTAACGGAGTTATCAATTGACCATCCTGCTGGTGGCTCCAAAAGCTGGCATTGGCTGTGTAGGCTGCAGGCAGTGATGCTGCACGAAATGTGACGCAACCACCACACTTCCCTGTGCTCGAAAAAATCGCTGTAACCGTGAGCAACAGGCGCACGTTCGCCTTCCCACAGAATGCAGGTGTATGGAGAAAACACGCTTTTTGAGTACTTCGGCATACCAGCTCGTGCGAAACCACACTTGTTTTGTGCTCTTGCAGAATACGGCCGTTGGTGATATCATCTTTCGTGACATAGAGGCCACAGACAGAGACGCTGGGATCAATGCGCTGCTAGAGTACTCGCTGGTACCAGGCGATGGTGGCGCCACCGATGGATACGGACGGTAAGATACCAAAGTCACACTTCAGGAGTCACCGCCAGATGTCATTATTTGCCTTGGAAACATTCATGATAAAGTAATAGAGCAGCCTGTCCAGAGCTTCTAGGATCGGTTTTAATAAACCTGTTTAGCAAGTGCGTGCAGCACGCGTATGTGTACATCAAACTACATTCTTCTTTTGGATGTCTGCATGTTTCTCAGACGTGTCTCCCCTGTGGAATAATTCAAACAAGATACACGGGTGATGATGCGATTCTGTCAGCCTGCGAGTGCACTGACACCCGCTGTTTCAGGTTCTCCATCGCCCGGTCGCACCAGGGGGTGGTGACAGTGGCTCGACCCCTCGACTTCGAGACCACCAACGTCTACTACCTGACCGTGGTGGCGAACGTGAGTCCAGGCAGGGTATTCAAGAACAAATTTAGAGCAAGAACATCAAGTGTCCGGGACATCAAACAGGTCTACTGCCTTCCCCGAGTCCAGATCTTTCACAAAAAATCAATGTCTTTAGCTTACATGTCTCACTAATAACCCGACGCTGAGGCCGATACCTAGGCTAAAGGCAGAGCTGCGCCTCAGATGACCTCCTGACCTTGAGCCGGTGACCTGACGTGTCCCCAGGACCGGGCGCAGCCGCTGTCCTCGCGCCGCTCAGCCACCACGACCTTGACCGTAGAGGTCGACGACAGTGATGACCTCGGGCCGGGGTTCGTGACCTCGGACTGCCGGCCCACCCAGCAGCAGTGTCCCGTGCCCACCTACCGGGCAGCGGTGAGTGACTGCCGTTCGGCGCCACGTAAACGGACCCTGGCTTCCGGACACGGGCTTTGGAATGGCATTGAATGGATTGACGTCACTGCTTTGACGTTTGTTGCCTTACACTGTGACGTCACAACGCCACAAAACATGTAGCGGACTCAGGGCAGTGTTGTGAATGGAACCGAGGTTGATTTCATGTAGTGTTCAGGTCCGTTCGTGAATCTATCCCGTTTTGCTCGTTGTTAGCCTTGTTAATGTCTTCCGATGTACATTTTCCGATCCTTACGCGTACCAAATCTAAAAAAAGATCTGTAGGTTCTCGCAAAAATTAACTGTACATGTACAGCCTCAATGTTTAGGGCGTGTGGCGTAATACCTATCAGAGTTGAGCAACCTTGCCTGCCAGCAATATATAGTTCATCTCCACGCCACAGTCAATGGGTCTTTCGAAAAGATCACTTCATTTTGCCATGCCATCTATCTTTGCGGGTTCTCCTTGACCTTCCACTGAACTGTGAATCGGCCGACCCAAGCCGTAGATCGTCGTTTGAGACGTGCGTTCACCACGTACTGACTGACCTTCGACCTCGGTTTCAGGTGATTTCCAGAGAGCTTTCTGGCGTACTGGACGTTCGGCCAGAGAGAATACACGCCGTGGACAGGGACACGCTGGGAGCCGGCATAGAATACCGGTGAGCGCTGGGCACGGGAGTGGACCAGGCGCCGAGCGAGGCATCTGCCCGCTGGGCACAGTGGGAGCGGGCCGGGCAGCGAGCTGGTGCGAGGCAGCTTCCCGCTGGGCACAGCGGGAGTGAACCATGGGCGAGCGAGACAGCTCCCTCAAACGCTGCAGAGGAAACGGAATGGACGCTGTGGCTTTGCGTGAGGGTGTTTAATACGAAAGCCTGTGCGTGCGTCCTGTTACGGGCTTGAGGCTCGGAACCCCTTAGGCGAATACTGTCGTGTATGTTATTACAGATTCATAGGATCCTATTCAGGTAGAGGACTGCCAATCCGCACCACCCAGCTTCCAATTAAGCCCTGACTGGAACACCCCGGGTTTATCGACCGAGGCTGAGGCTTTCCAACTGGTTTTGCGAGGCTATACACCTGTTTTATGGTATTTGGGTTACGTTCAGCTTTCATTTAGTCAACTTGTTGTAAGACATACCACGATACTCATCGTACATTGACATGTGACGGGGGTTAACCGCCATAACGTTTTCATCTAGCCGACAAGGTGAGAGACATATGACGATACACATCTTACACTGATACGCGACGGAGGGTAGCCGAGTCTTCAAAAGCTAACGATCCTAGCCTGTATGTGGCGCGGCCCATTTTTACAGCCGCTGCTTCTGTTTGGAGGAAATCATGAAGGAGGAGTCATTGACTCTCCTTTTCACTGCTTATAACCCACAGAGAGGGACCAATCACAATCTCAATTTGATTCAGGAGTCCGAATTCTATCGCAAGCAAAACAGTCATCTTGGAACACAACGGTGTGCCGAATTGTTTGCTAATCTGCTGCAGTGGTACAACCGCCTAGCTGGCTGTGTAGGCTGAAAGGTGGACAGACAGGCGCGCATGGAAAAGTCTAAGATTCTGCACGTTTTAAATCATTCGGGTAGTTCGCTGCAGGCTTGCTGCCAACTATTTATCACCGCTGATAGTAAATTGCACTTCCTTAAGCCTTGGTCGTGGAATGGACACGACATATATCCTCTAACTGACTGATAGATGCAAACAGTTTTGGCTTACACAAACGAATCTCAGTTCCCCGCGTTCATCTACCTCTTGATGCCATATAATAATCATGTATGAAACTAAATACCACTCTATATTGTGCAATGCTATTTTGTATCTTGCAACATTGCTGCTGCACTGCGTAGTTTAACTGTCACGACTTGTAATAATTTTGGGAAACTCTATAACAGCACCGTGTCGTGAACTTGTCATTACAACAACTAATTGAAGCCATATTTTCCGTAACTTTCAGGGCGATATCCGGCCAGCCGCCAGACTACCACCAGTATTTCGAGATTGACCTGAGCTCAGGTCAAGTGCGCCAGATCCAGCCGGTTGACCGGGCGAGGGTCAAACAGTTCGTCATCACAGTGCAGGTAAGTCGGAGGCCTCTGTGTTCCACTGAAGTATCCTGGACGCAATGTGTCTGCTCGCAAGTTCCACAAGCGATATTTGAATGTAGGGATCAAGATGTCAGTCTGCAGTTTCTTCATATCTTCTCGTAGTTTGATGTGGTGGCACCATGCGCGGTTGATTGTTAGTGCGGTGGAGGCCACTAACCAACGATCAGAGATCCCCATCACAGTGACATCACTATCATCACTGTAGCTACGAAGACGAAACCACGGCAAAACAGCCCCACAGAGTTGCCTCGTCGGCTGTTTGTTATCAAGGACTGGCTGACCCCTGTGACACTTGTGACCCCTGTGACCCCTATGACTCCTGTGACCCGTGTGACCCGTGTGGTCCCTGTGACGCCTGTGACCCCTGTGACGCCTGTGACCCGTGCAACCCCTGTGACCCCGTGACCCTTGTAACCCCTGTGACCCCTTTGATCCCCGTAATCCCTATGACCCTTATGGTCCCTGTGATTCCTGTGCTCCCTGTGACCCCCGTGACTCCTGGCTGATCCCAGGCTCGCGAGAGGACGCTCGTGGGCAGGTCTCAGACAACAGATCTCATCATAGACGTCAAGGCCGTGGACACCAGCCCGCCCATCATCACCGTCACATCACCCGAAGGTGAGGAGCGCATCACGTACCATTATTATCACCACACCTCCCGAAGGCAAGGACGACAGCGCGCGGCAGAATCCATTGATTAAGTGTGGTTTGTGGCTAGAGCTGGTTCAAGCGGCAGCGGGAGTGCGCGCACGTGGTGAACTCTAGCGTCACGTGATCCGCCCTTATCACATTTATCAGGCGTAGTTCATTGGTCCATGAATACAGGTCGGC